CTTCTTCTTCCTTCTGTTCTTCATTTTAGAATATGAACGTAGCTTACTCTTATTCTCATTTATTATCAAAATTAACTTATAATATCAACAAAAAAACAGTGATATTTAATACACAATAACACAAAACAAGGAGAAAAAAATTACATTTGATATCTAAACCATAAACAGCCGATTTTGATTCAAGTCCCATTGCCATAGTATGGATCAATCGAATATTATAAATAAACTGATGAATTTCTGCTCCTATCACATTTACAGGCGCTTTTACGTTTTTATGTGTATGAGCTAATTTTACTGGTGCTGTCACAGTATCAATTAAATGTAAATTGACAAATGGAACTATGATGAAACAAAAAGATTAAAACATATTAGATCTTAGTTCATGCACTGTCTATTATGTTTACCTTTTTGATAGTCAATACCTTCTCTAATAACAGCAATCATATTCAGATTAACATATTTGTACAAAATGCTTCTATCACCCAATACAATTCCATTTGAATGAACACGATCTAAATAATACAAAGGTTTATAGATTATAATTATTATTATTATTATTATCCAACAAAACAGCCTCATTTTTATCCAAGAACTATTTTTTTCACCTGTACTAAAGCGGGTATGAATACCAAAAAACATCTTCTTTCTTAAATGCTATACGCCAAACTTTCAGTAAATCTGTTGACTGAAAAGAAAAAATATCAAAACAAAACTGCATAATTTCTGAAAAATAATTATTTCTTTACCGTTTGTCCATTGTCATTCACCGTTAAATGATAACCAATAAGTGTTTGGTCAGTTTTGTCAAATAAATAAATATACTTTGGTGTTGATGTTCCAAATGCACGTGTTAATGAAACCTCAGGAAATGTATAAACCTGAATAACAAAACGTAGGCGGTTATATGAAACGAAGAAATATAACACGCCCCTTACTTTATATTTTTTATCGATTTGTATGAGGACTTTTCTGAACTCATCAACAATTTGTGATGATAAGTAGACTCGCAAAATTTGCTATGGTACAGTTGTAGAAAGATTCTCTGTATTATCACCTGTATAAGGATTAAAGGTTTTTATCTGAGTACTTTGAGATTGCTAAAAAAGAGACTAAAACAACGAAACATTTTCATTTTTACATTAAATACTGACGTTTACTTGTTAACTAAAGAAAAACAGCATAGACTTTCACATCATTTTATTGATTCTACTAACCTTGTGTCTAGAAACAATTGATACTAATGGTTCATGTGTATAGTGTGTTGCTGTTCTCACATTAAACAATGATACTGTCGGTTGACCGAAATTATGAGATGGTTTAAAGTCATGATAAAATTGTTTCCATAAAATACTACCACTTTGAGTTAAGATACCAAATATCTAATTAGACAATGAGAAAAGAGATGTTTAGTTTATAAGCTAATCTCTCTAATGCTTTTTACATTTCCAACTGATGTTACATCGACCAATATTTATTAAATTAAATTCGTAAAAAAACGATGAAAAATTGTACTGAGTTCACCACGATTTTGATTATCACGAAAAACCTTGTGGTGAATCTTTAATTCGAAGATCAGTAGTTATTAAACGATCAAAAGGTTTAAAAAATTCAACGTTTACCTGCCGATGAAGTTATTGTATATCTTCGTCATCGTCTTGAAATCGAAGACGATGACGTCTTTGCATTAGCGCAAAATCGACTTTTTATACGGGGAACAGAATTGGTCCAAATTTGTTTTCTGAAGAGCTTATTATGTAAATCGACGGGCAGCAAAGTATCTCTTGATTCAAATGACTTTTCGCATTTTGGCGCGAATAGTAGCGCGTTTTAAGTGGCGCCACTATGCGCCCAGTATCACAACCACTATTAATCGGCAGATACTAGAAGTGTCTTCTACTAGCACCACAAAGGCCTCTATAAAGAAATAGATACATGCCCACATACGATAAGAAAACAAGTAAATTTACTTACGTCCAGTTTTCTTGATAAAGCGCAATAAAATTATTAAATATATAAGAAACATTTTTTCATCTAATAAATATTATAATAAACATATATATCTGAAACATAAAATCTATAGTAACAGCAGCTATTTATATGATCTATCAATTCTATTTTGTTTTATCTATATCTCTATACTTCTTTGTTGTTGAAAACTTTTTTATATTTTTCTTTTGTCAAAACCATGATCATATACTGTAAAGTATGCATGCACAACCGAGGCATACACAAGCGATCGTGCAGATCTCAAATGTAAATTTCTAGAGAAAAATAGAGATATATTCATTTCGTCCATGGAGAAGATTCTTTTTTATTCTTGTACTGAAATATTAGGCTAAATTAAACACGTTTCTTCAACGAAAATTCTTTCACTTTTCGTCGCGTACAGGTTTGACTCAATATGTACTATACTGTTTCTGCATCGTTGGTAAAAGATGAAAGCAGCAGACCGTCTGATGGATAGATGGATCAGTGTTTAAAAGATAGAATTCTGTCCTCATCACAGAAAAAAACACAAAACCGAAGTCACAAGATCTCTTTCTTATCATGGGCAAATTAGAACTGTATAGTAAAAAAGATCACGGTTTAACAAATATCTATTGAAAAGTATTTTAAGATTTGTCAAGAACGGTCAAAAAAACTTGAAATCTGTTTATCGTCAGTCATGTTAATCATGAGTTAATCATGTTACAGAGAATCTTTCTACAACTGTACCATAGCAAATTTTGCGAGTCTACTTATCATCACAAATTGTTGATGAGTTCAGAAAAGTCCTCATACAAATCGATAAAAAATATAAAGTAAGGGGCGTGTTATATTTCTTCGTTTCATATAACCGCCTACGTTTTGTTATTCAGGTTTATACATTTCCTGAGGTTTCATTAACACGTGCATTTGGAATATCAACACCAAAGTATATTTATTTATTTGACAAAACTGAACAAACATTCATTGGTTATCATTAATATTAGCGGTTTTTAGTTTTTAGTCTTTACCGAGATGAGATGAGGATGAAATGACAAAATAGATCAGCAGTTTTGTCTTAATCTCAGTAGATTGACCGACATGGATGAACATGTACACTTCTTCGAGGGATTGAAGCTGGAATAACACCAGTAGGCTCCCAGTAGGCTGGAATATGTTCACCATGTGGAGGAGATAGGTGACAGATCTGATTGTGTGTTAAACTTTCTCTTGAGACAGTGGAGACACACGACAGACCACTTTCATCTATTGAATCCGACTAGTTGTAGGTCTTTATATTGAGACGGACACAAAAAGAGATTACTAGTGTTAAGAGGTAGGAGGAAAGCAGAAGCTACCTGGTGAGTCCCTCCAGCAAGGACGAAACCGGTCGTAGTAGCTGTTTGATGCCTTTTGGCATTAGTGTCTCTTCTATCGACATATTCACCCTCAACACTCCCAAATTCTCGGCTCCTTCAATTGCTTCTATTATCGAAGCTCGTCAAGCAAACATCGAACAACGTGCTACGCAAATCATTGAATTCAAAAAAACGACTCCTAAACAACACTCATCTCGTTTTCATCGTACTCATCAGCGTCACAAGAATTGTTCTATTGTCGACTGAAACTGTATTATATACTAATCTGTATCAAAAGTTTAATATTAATATAGATCCTATCTCGAGTATGTATATCAAGGAGTACAAAACTTGTTTTTAATTCATTTCACTCCTTCTCGCTCATTCTTTACTTATAATTCAATGTAAACGTTTCCTTTTCCAATTTCTATTCGCTAACTGGTTAAATCCAACTTAGAATCAAATGTTTGTTTTTCGGCCCATTTTTCTAGTGTTCTTCGATTGTCGTATTTCTCATTTAATCGAGCATTTCTAAAACTCGTTATTGACTACTGCTGGTAGAACAGATGTTCATTTCCAGTCTATTTCACATTTTTTCTTCACCAGTTTGCTACTTTTCAGATATACGCATGCCCTACTATCTAAGTTTCGGACGAAAAATGAACGGCACATAGCAACACTATTGAAATTGATATCCGCCAATATGCGCATAATCATGGTACCTGCTGCTAAATGCTTTAAACAACACAAATATTCACTGGACAAGAATCACTTCCACAACAACAACAATTGTCACTCTCTCTGTCCTCGAATGGCCTATAAACAGCCCGTCTTGTGTGGTAGTTTGTTTCATTTCAATCCTCGAACAAACTGCTAAGAACACTTTCGTCTCACTTTCTTTCTTAATATCTTTCCTCATCCTTTGTCCACTTTATTCCTTGCCCTACCAGTTGACCAGTATTTGTTCTGTGATTCATTCGTGGATCATAGCAGATATCTGAGCCACTTGACAAGATTGTTAATAGCATCTTCGAAAGATCAGTCTCGTGGTAGCTATACTCACACCCTCACCTATTCTTCACCTGACCTTGTCCAAAAGTGAGGAGAACAAGACACATTCATTTTTTTAATTTCAAAAAGTTGTTTCATCGAACCTGTGCTCAGAGAGAGAACCTCTTTGGTTGCATAGGAAACTGACGAACTTAGAAAAGGTTTAATCATTTCGTACAGAATCAAAAAAAGTCTTGGTAGTTTCGTATAGTCCCAAAAAAGGTTTTTCTCCTCAATACAGATTCAATGAAAAACCGATTTCTTAGAGTGCAGTCTTGATTAGAAATATTCACGATTGGTAATATCCTCTGTTAAACAGAACAATCCATTTCATTCATATAGTGTTGTAGTATTGATCGTCATTTGACTAAGAGTATATCGTAGATAAAACAATATTTAACCCATAATGTTTCTTTTGTTTATTCTAGATAAAGAAAATCATTCGATTACTCATCATAAATATCAAAAATGTTTGAACAATCCATCTGATGGTCTGATGAAGAAGAGCAACAACAACAAGAGAATGACGAGGACAATTCCAATGACGATGAAGACTCTTATCATGAAAAAATACCTCAACTACTTCGGGATCTTGACTACACCGATCTCTGTGAATTGATTGACAATATGGATTCGATGGGTTCAATCAGTGAACAACACACAAAGAAAATTCTATCAATGTTACATCCGTTGACCGAAGAAGATACTGTTTTGCGGGCATCATATCAAGGCTATTCATTGCGTATATATTCCACTAGTGATTTTCAACGTCAATCATCTCAATGCATGAAACAAATGGGTATTTATACATTTATTCAAAAAATAAATCGAACAAAATCAAAAATTGATCAAATCTGTTTGAAGAATATCGTCAAAGAAGTGCGCACAATATTGGATGATTTATTTTGTTCTCATTGTCTCACCCTTCAACAATATAAACAGATGCAATTCAATCGAGCAGATGTCAAATTAAATTCTTTGCATTTTGTCTTGGCCGCCAATGAGAATGTATGTTTTTAATCTTTTTCTTCTCGCTTTTAATCGATTTATTTTATTCTATCCAACAAAAAGAACATTGTTCGACCGATAATGACCTGCAAAGATGGACCAACCATGGGTATTGCACGTTATCTTCGTGATTTGCTTTGGTCGATCTTTCATCAACTGACCGGTTGTCTAACATTATCGAATGGTGCTAACCTGGTCCAAGCTTTCGAATTATATTCAGAAAAGGGTTATCTTCAGTCAACAAACCTTTTTACCTCGTTCAATATCAACGAATTTTGTAACAAATTTTCACATCAAGTGATGATCAAAGCTCTAGAACATTTTCTTCGTACGTATGGTACTGAAGATAACATGCATGGTTTGACCATTGATACGATCATTAAACTTGTTTCTTTGGTGTTACAAAACCAATTTTTCGTCTATCAAGACAAACTCTACGAACAGACGATGGGTAGTGCTTCTGGCTTACCATTGACCATTCCATTAGCTTGCATTTATATTTTCTATTGTCAACCAACATTGCTGACTGCTCTCATCGTCCAACAGGAGAATCAAAACGAACTCTTTGGCATGTATGTATGTCTTCCTTGCTTCATTGATAAACCCTTCATTTGATGGTAAATATTATAGATTTCAAGATGATCTGTTTCCCACATGGAATAAATCAGAAGATGAACTTCGTGTATTACTGGATATGCCGATGATGGTTGATGAGCAACATATTCAAATAACAACATTATCGATTGGAACAACGTTTCCTTTTGGTGATGTTGTAGTGTATCATGCCCATGGTATTCTTCATAGCAAAATTTACCATGATCCAAGGACTGATCAATATCAATTACGGAATAAATGTAAGCATGGAACAAGTCAATCAGCCAGATTATTACATGCCAGACTCATTCATGCAGTATGATGCTGTTCCGATGAAAATAATTTTCATTATGAACGACGTTTTCTTAAACTTGTCTATCTATTATATGGCTTTTCCGCACATTTTATCAATGATTGTATTCAAGAATTTTACAAGCAATTCTATGCCTCTGAAGTCCATTATCTTATTGATAGAGTTCCATATTAAACTCTACGTCAACGAGTGTTGCTCTACTCACAAGAATTGATCAGCTTGAAAAATCGATGGTCTACCGAAATCGCCAATCTCCAACATATCCCCTATTCGAATGATTGGAATTCACAAACGATGGCCTATTTTAAGAGCCATTTTTTGAAACTCTTGAAAAAATCTTTTGATTTTGAGCCGCAATGGAATGAAGATAAGTTGGAAATGGTGACATTTATGGTGAACAATACTCATTTATTCATGAAATATAAACGATAATCGTATGTGTATCAAAATTCAAATGATGACAAAATCATCTCTTTATTTTAGATAATCGCAAAAATGTTCCTTTCTTCTGATGATAACCTTGCACAGACTCTTTGTTTATTCATTTTTTGTTCTTATGTAGCATAACTTGTCATTAAACCTACATTATATGATAGCTATAGTCATTTTCATTCCAGATATCTGTCAGATTTTAGACTTTTTTCTATTGACAAATTTGACGAAAGCAATAATCAATCGAAAGGACATGGCTTCTTCTCAGAAGACAGTAAGAAATATCGAATAGAAAATGATTTATGATTTCATGCAACTATTTGTATTGTAGTATGGTAACTTTGATTTGAGTACGACCGATCTTTTTAATGATCTTGACTCATATGTCGACAACGACGACGATGATACAGCAAAGCAAGATTATGATTTAGACACTCTACATGCCAGGGAACGAGAAGAGACAGAAGATCAATCGGATACCATGAGCGAGGACGACAACACGGAATATATGGACACTGCCAATCAAGTGTTGATTGGTACCATGACAACATCTCGAACATCAAACAGAACTAAAGTATCATTTTCTTTTATGCTCCTCTTTGGTTCTGTTTTCATTTTTTTTGTAGTCCATCGAAGAAGAGCACGCTGTGTCACAACAAGGTCGGACCGGACTCTAATGAGCTATGGACATCCTGAACAGAGTTCGTGCTTATAGCTTATTTCTGTCGAGATATTTAATTTTTATGGCATTTTTTAGCAAAAAAGCCGTGATCCTCCTCAGTTTCACCTGAAAAATTAATTTTCGAATTTCGACTTGAAACTTTGCGCAAGGAAAGGTCTCAATGAGACTAGTTAATTCTGAAAGTTTTGGATTTTTGGATTCCTTCTGTCCCGAGATACGACTATAAGAAAAAATACTCTTTTTCACATCACTTATAGCACAAAATGTTAAATGTTCGTATTTAAGGGTAGGAGCCACCAGGAAATTTGAGACTTTCAAAATTAACTAGTCTCATAGAGGCCTTTCCTTGCGCACAATTTCAAGTCGGGTGGTTGGGTGAGATAAGCGCACCATTATCGCGATTTCGACCTTGCTTAAGGATCTCATCAGATGGCTTTAGCTTTAAAAATAGATTCTGTTCTAATTATCCAAAGATCATAAACAAGTCATCTATAGCCAATCTTACTATACAATTTCCGAAAAAGCGACGGTCAGCTGCTTTCATCTTTTACCAACGATGCAGAAACAGCATCAACCTTTCCACTAAAGTGTCATTCATTAGTGCAAGAGAGCTATACTTCGGGAGCTATGCCTCTATTCTGAGATTATTCCTGTATTCCACTGTTATACAACATTTCATTTATGGAAAAAGAAACACAAAAAATAAACAAACAGTAAAAAAAATGAGACACCATTTAAGACATAAAGTACTAGCGGATCTTTATGATCCATGTTTTACACTGAGAATAAATATTCGAATGACATACAGTAATGGGCCCATGATGAAGTAACGAACAGAGAGAAGTAGAACAGGAAAAAGAAAGACACCTTGTTTTACAGAGCTTTCAAATGAGGACCAACAAGCCGAATATCTATACTTACCAAAACTGACTAAACTCGGCGTCTGGATCAAGGATGCAGTTTGACACGCTGATTGTGAAAGTGACATTTTGTTTTGGTTAAAACAATGTTTTGATATCAAAACCAAAATTTCCGTAAAAGAACAATAGTTTTTGATAAAGCATAAGGAGAGTTGGAACACACTGCGCCGTCTTTACAGATATGTTACGTAGTCTCTATAAATATAGATTCATGTCTTATTTTATATTAGTTTGAATTTTAAAATTAGTCCTATGGAACAGGAGCATGAGGATATACTCATAATGTTTTGGAAAGTATAGTAGAACATTTATGGAAAATTTGAGCTGCATTACGCTACCATTATACGGTACTATGACTTTTCCGCTTAAGAAGAAAAGAACATAAGATTTTTATCCTTCTGCCGGCCAACAGTTCTATCCCATCTCGATGTAACCAAAACAGGTCAAAAACGAAAGCCAGTCGCGCGCATATTTTGGCAGCTAGTAGGATATCTTGTAGTAAGAAAAAGAGTAACGAGCTTCGCTTCGACGCGACTTCTTGGACGATTCATGAACGATCCGAACGAAGCGGAGCGAACAGAAACGTCATGGAACGTTCAGTACACTTCTTTCTCTTTAATGTAAAATTCTTC